AAAAAAAAAAAAAAACACCGTAAGGTTCTTTAAATTAGTTATAAAATTAAATATCTTGATATATATGTAAAAAATCGGTAAGAGTAACCATCGCTGTGAGAGAGAACTTTATATATTTCCTGATACAGCGTTTATATAAATAATCTATTTGTGAATTTGTTGTATCATATATATGTACATAACTTAGCACAATTTAAAGTAGAGAAGCTGCGAATCTTACAATGCACCCGGGAAAGGATCTGTTCTGTTCTTTCTTAGAAGAAATTCTATCTTTCGACTCATGTCCTCGTCGTAAAGCGCCTTGCACCTCTCGTAGTTGATCCTACGTCTGACCTGGCACGGTTTCTCGTAGTATCTGGTGCGTCTGAATTGACCGAAGATGTCCTCCTTGGCCAGAATGCGATTTAATACGCGGCACGCCTTGTCCACGTCGTTGTTCTGGACCAATACCGTGCGGCTTATAAACTGAACGTGTCGCGCGAGACCCATCTGGAAAAAGAAAAAACAAATTTTGCGTAACTACAACTTTACCCGCGCATCTTTACAACTTTGTTTGCAAATAATATTACACTGCGAGAAAAAAATAAAATTTTCTGTTATCTGTTTATTTACTTATTTCTATATTTATTATTTTTTAAGAGATGCATTTAAATCGCGCTTTCGATCCGCACAATCGGATTTTCTATCATACTTTTTCTGCTTTTTATAAATCTTTGACCGTTCGATTTTTTAGGTTAGGTTAGGTTCGCGGATTTTCTATTGAACAAACGTGCTATCTTAAACGACTAATTTTAACGACCAAGAAGACATACTTCTCACGTTTTCTGCAAACCAAGTTATTTAAGGAAAATCACTAAAAAGGACAACAGTTTACACGTAAATTAAAATATCCTGCCCCTCACACACCTCGATCACGAACGACGCAAATCGACTCTGTCCCGACTGATACAAGTAGCGCCATCTAGCGACTCCGCACGCAAACTACAACATAGAATTGACAGAATCGATAATTTCACGTTTGGCACAAATATTTGTAAAAGGCGTCGATATTCATAGTCTTATATATATTTTTTCTATATAATTTTTTTTTTTTTTGTAATATAATCCCTGAAGTATATGAGTGCCTTTCCAACTACATATACAGGGTGTCCCGTACAATCTCTCGTAGGCAGGTAGAAGGAGTAAAACTGAGTCGAAAAGTCCTGAACCATTTTTTTCTATTATTTATAATAAAGAAGTAATTATTGAATAAATCAGGCCAATCAGCGCAGACCTTTAGCCAGGTCTGCACGTCAGTGAGCGCTCGCACACACCAGGCGCGCGGCTCACTGACGTGCGTCTGGCTAAAGGTCTGCGCTGATTGGCCTGATTTACTCAATAATTACTCCTTTGTTATAAATAATAGAAAAAAATGGTTCAGGACTTTTCGACTCAGTTTTACTCCTTCTACCTGCCTACGAGAGATTGTACGGCAATTCTGGGACACCCAGTATAGGCGACAGTGTTGGGCCCACTGCGCCAATATGCACCAATATCCAATACCAAGGAAAGCAGTAAGAATGGAATTTGGTGGAAGAGATATTACTTCTATATTCTATTCCACTAGTATCCCACACAGACATCCAGACATTCATTAAACATTTATTAGATGTCGCATGAGGAGCTGTCGACGTCTAATAGACGTCTCTAATGGAGTTTTTGTTCTGTGTGGGACTATCATTTTCACGAATATATCAAAAGTTTCATTCGTTCAAATTATTTAGTGTGTGTGTGTGTGTGTGTGTCTGATTATCTACCCATTTCCGACGGATAACTGCTAAAAACGCGAATGTGTCCTAACAGCAATACGTTCAGCAATGTGATAACAATGAAGTAGACCACTAGCCAACGGGTAATCTGGAAATAATAATAATAATAATAATAATTTCTCATAAATTCAATAATGTTTGTAAAGACGCAAGTGGAAAACTTATTTTTTTATATGTTAACTCTTTGCGGACAGACTTCAAAAACGTCCTACCAGTCGGACAGACTGAGTCTGTGAAACCCACGCGACTTTGAGATTGAATATTTTTCAGCAAAAAATCAATTGTTTTTTTTGTTTTTTAATCAAAAGTTTGAACTTTTTCCGCGTCGATAAGAAAAAAACAAATTTTGAAAAAATGTTTAGCAGTTTCGAGGATATAAGCGTTAAAAAAAAACTGTTTTACTAGAGACACCTATAGGTTTGAAAATTTGTGAATTGGGTCTAGGAGTCCCATGTCTGTCCACGCACAAAGGGTTAATTGTCATGTGTTACGTGTTAATTAATTATTTTATACGCGTTCTCGAAGAATTACTTCTCTGTCCGTCAGATTGTAACCAAATCCGTATCGACATATGCAAAGCCACGCTGTGAAGGACAGCAGGAGCAAAGTTACGGCAAACGGAGAAGCATAAATATGTATAATAAACATTTGTTTATGTCAATTGGGTTGACAATTTGTTGCATCTTCCTCCGCTTCTTCTCGCGCGACGACGACGCATATTTTTTTATTCGCCGAGATGTTGTCGCAACGACGTGGGTATGTCGATTTCGCAAAGTTTTCGCCGAAAAAAACGAACTCGAATTCGATTCGGGAAACGGGTTTTGTCATCAATGCGAGTATCTGCGGTCCGTTTCCATTTTGTATTCCTGAATTGTTGAAATGATTTGTCTTCTACTCGAAATAGATATCGGTTACGTGTCAAATAAAATTCGACAGTAACAAAATTGATGAAGACATGATTTAACAAACCGACTTGATATATATATATATATATATATATATTGTTTGCGCGACCGCGAATTGATCAATAATTGTTTGAGCAAAGCGTTGTGTCCTTTTAATGGTATTTTCCGGCAGAAAAACCAGGAGAGAGAAAAACGAACTGGAAATTTTGCGACTGGGAATTTGCGCCAAATTGAAACTGACGCGTCATCGAGAGTGATTTACTTCAGACGATGTAAAATATTATACAACAACGGCGCCACACGCTTACATTAACCGAAATAAAACGAAAATACAAATCGTTATAATCTTCTTAACGCAATATTCATTTCTGTTTATATTTTGAACGAAAGCGGATTGTACGAAGCGAAATGGCGGAGTAATCTAATGTCGTTTGATCGATAAGCGTTCGCTCTCCTCTCGGGCGAGACGGTCAAAACGAAGCGTAATTAGCAAAATATTTTGACGCGGATTTATAGAAACGTCGCGAACAAAAAAAGTTTCAAATTGTTGAACTCGATGCGAGCGCGCTGACAAGATGCCTCCGAAGAAGAAGAAAGACGAGGCGAAAGAGATTCCGCAAGACTTGGAGTACATCGAGTAAGGACTTTTGTATTCTCTTACTTATACTTCTTACACGCGCGGAAACACGAAGCTATCTTGACAATTTTTACGTGACGGAAACGAATGATTTTTTTTTTTTTACGAGACAAACTTTTGAAAAAATATGTAGAACCAACAAGCGTAGTTTTTTATATATAGATCGGAAGTGGAGATCGCGGAAACGATCGAACAAGAGTCCGCGAAACCGAGGATAGCTCTGCTCACCGGCGAGGTTTATGGCCCGCGAGTACGTTTTATCAGTGAAAAAGCCGAGGAGGAAAGTTCGGACGACGAGGCCGAATCGGAGAGCGAGGAGGAGGACAGATATCAGGAAGATCATCCGGAATTGCCGTCCGAATTCTGGCACATACAGAAGCTCATCAAGTACATGAAGGGTGGCAACCAAACTGCCACTATGGTGTCACTGTGTCTGCTGAAGGACTATGAGCTTACCAACAAGGTTTGTTACACGCTTTACGCGTAAATCGAACACATTTTTTTATTTACTTTAAAATATGATTTGCGCTAAATTGAAAAAAATTAGTTCGCAGAAGAGAAGAGTGCTCGTGAAATTTTGTAACATTCAACGAAAACTGCAACTTACGTAGGGGAGACTGGGGCTGATTGTGACACGCGGGTAAAAAGTTACAAGCTCTTTGATTAGTGATGAAAACTAAGTGCTACATCAAAGCTAAAAAAGAAACAAACGCGACAACTGTCACGCGTCATCGTCGTTGTTGCAATTATTTTTCACCGCTATATTTAAGGTTGTAACTTTTTACCCCCGTGTCACAACCAGCCCCACAGTCTCCCCTATATCGGCTGGTTCTGCCTTACTTCAATTTATTTGAAAATTAGTTCAAAATACACATTTTATTCTCACACTGAGAAAAAAATACTATTAACTCAACTAAATGCGTTTAGTTGAGTTTCAGTTTGTTATCTGAAATACTTGGTTTTTTTTAATTCAAGCATACGGTAAAATAAAGATAACAAATTCGTATAAGTTGAATTAACAATAGTGGTAATGAACATATTTAATTCACTAAATGAATGAATTGTTTTGTCGAACATAAGTTTGTGATAATTTCAAATAAAAGATACTGTTTAACCTTTTCCGGGGATTTTTCCTTTAAAATTGACCTCGCATTTTAGCTGAAAAAGTTAATAATAACCTGCTACCCCCCCCCTTCAAAGTTAATTTTAAAGGTCAAAGAAGTAACCAGGATTGTTTTCAATTTTTTTCCTAAATTGAGTGCATTAAATTGACCTTATAAACATCTATTACGTTCGCTTTTCTTGCTGGTCCATATATGGACCAGTCCCGGAGCGAAAAGGTTAAAAAAGATGAAATAGGCAATTCTCATTTACTTTAATTGAATATAATCTGAATTTCTTTGTACCAAGTATTTCATTCAATCAAACTGCTTAATTTTTATAAGCAGACAAAATATTGTGTTGTCCTATTGTGTTTTACATTCAAAGTTACCTGTATTTAAGCAAATTATAATTTTGCTAAAACAATTATATAAATTGTCTTTCGGTATAATCTAATTATTATATCTATTGAAACATGATATCTTCTTTACATTTAATCAATATTTTATTGACAGCCCGTGACCGCTGCATATAGGTGAATCGAATACTATTTTGTTACTTCGCCAACTTGTTTTTCTCAGTGCACTAAAATGTTTATTTTAAATAATTGAAATAAATAATTCTTTTACTATGTGTTTTGCCTTGTGTTCTCCACAGGTTATACAGAAGGCTATTCACGAAATGGGCGGTCTCGAGATATTGGTAAACCTTCTTGAAACGAACGACATCAAATGTCAGAATGGTTCGTTGTCGGTCTTGTTGCAAATCGCAACTTCGACCGAAATGAAGAGGTATCTGATCGATTTGGACGTCACGACGCCATTGATTCAAATGTTGAAGCATCCCGCCAGAGATATCCAGGTTGCTCGTTCGCCGTTTCTAATTTTAATGACCACTTGTTCTTTAATTCTTTTTCTTATCGAATATCAATTGTGTGTGTGTGTGTGTGTGTTCTATTTACAATTTTAAAATTCAATTCAGCTTTTCTCTCTCGCTCGATACAATCGAATTGTTGTTTTATTAAACGTGTGCCAAAAATCTAATCGAATCTAATTTTAATTAACATTTAAATTTTTAATATAAAAGAAAAGATAGATTTTATTACAAAATTAACTATTTTAATTTTGCCACGTGACCCGTAAGTAATTTTGTCTTTTCAGATTTTAGCAGCCGAAACAATGGCAATTATAGCACAAATTAGAAAAGCTCGAAAACAGATACGAATCCGCGGTGGAATACCGCTTATTGTAAGTTTTTCGATCGAAGTCGACCTATATAAAATAAATAAATAAATAATCGCTCAGCTTCTTTATTATTCAACATTTTTTTTTCACACCGGTCATTATTCCAAATACAATTTATATAAATATTTTCTGTGTGACCCACATGTATATCCGGTGTGTATCGACTGATTTCGTCACAGCTCGATGTGATGGACGTGCCGGACGAGGTTCTTCGGCGTTCGTACGACGAGCTGAGCGAAACTAGCAAGGAACTGGTCGCGGTCGCCATTGGTTGCGCCAAGGTTCTCGATTCCTTGAGTAGCAGTCCGAAAGTCAAGGAGGAACTTCGCAAACACGGCGTCGTTCGCTTGATGTCGCGTTTCCTGAGATCTAAGCACACCCAATTGATCATACCCACCATGGGCGTCGTCCAGCAATGCGCCGATCTGGTTTTATCGAACTTCCTAAAATAACTCCTCTAATTAAACTCCTATAATTAAAAATATCTTGCTTGCTTATTCTCTAAAATAATTCAGCATCGCAATATAATATAAAATATGCAAATGGTTCATAAAATATAAATTATCGTTACATAAACGCAATTAATAACACAATTCAAACGGTCGATATCGCGATACATTGTTGCGTCGCGTCTCTATTAAAGAAACGTGTAATTAGTTTTGAACTGTTTGTACACGGAGAATTTTGATATGCAATTCTCCCCCCTCCCCCTCCGTGAGGAGAAGTTATTAATAATTCCCGTTGCGCGTGGTGGTTTCGCCAGAACATTTTCAGGGAAGAGTTCGAGCGAGTGGGCATCATTGACGAGCTTGTGCGCCACTTGAAGAACGAGAGCGTGAAGCTGAAGGAGAACTGCGCCCTGGCGATCTTCAAATGCGCGTCGAATCGAGAGACCCGGGCGATAGTGCGCCAGGCGGGCGGCCTCGATCCGCTCTGCAAGCTCGTACAGAGCGAGGAGGTGCGAGCGAACAAACGTCTGCTGGCCGCGGTAACCGGCGGTATCTGGAAGTGTGCCATCAGTCCGGAGAACGTAACGAGATTCAATCAGAACAACTTAGTGGGGTCTCTGGTGCCGCTGCTCGAAGAAAATGAAGACGAACGGGTGCTGGCCAACATCGTAGGCGCCCTAGCCGAATGTTGCAAAGATCCCGCTAACAGGGACGTCTTGAGAATTAACGAGGGTCTGCCAAAACTGGTAAAGATTAAAGTCGCGAGCGACTCTCGGTACAGTACTTTCTCAATTCTTTGATAGTTTCTGACTGCCACGTCAAAACTTTGAACCCGCTGCCGCACTCGTCTCTTGCTCCATTCACGCTCTCAGCACATATAAGTAGATATATTTGCGTAAATCTTCTCCTAAAAGTTACAGTCTTATAAAAATTAAAACTTAATTAAAATAAGCTAGAGAGATAGATAGATAGATAGATATGTGCTTTATTTATAAAGGCGCTCTGGGACAGACCCCTCAAGCGCACAAATAAACAAATGGAGTAAGTGATAATACAAATATAAGTAAGCTACAAAGTAAGAAAGATATAAAAAATATAAAAATAAATAAAAAAATATAAGAAAAAAAGACAACATGTAAAAAAGAGAGAGAGAGAGAGAGAAGAACATTTCTGATATGTTTCATCATACGTGAAAAATCTATAGAATTGATATTTCCTTTCTCTTTTACAGAATTAATATGTTTTTTATATAATATCGCGTATCTTCTCAATAATTAATTAAGCAGAAAATCCTGTCGACGCGGGTTTACGTTTAACTATTCCATTGCGTCTTATACAAGGTGTCCGAGTACGATAATAGCCGTATTATCCGCTCGCGAGCAGATAGGAATAAGAGAGTCGAAAAGTTCTCTTAGTAGTTTGCAAGATTAGAGTTCGCAATAATTAACGAGTTCTTAATTAATAAATATCCGCTAATGAGCGTGCAAAAGAGAGACACGGGCGCAGCGTTTCGCGCCCTTGCGGTTGCTACGCGCGCGTTGCAACTCAACTCGGGAGAGGAATTAACAGCAAACAGCATGTAACGCACGTATTATGCTTTCGCGTTTTGATCGTCGTTAGCTATTGATTTTTATGTTAATGCGTAAATTTTATACGCCGTTAATATTAACTCCTCTCTCGTGGCAACTATCCCAGATAGCCAACTGTCTGCAAGTTGGCAGTCTGCAAGTCAACTGAGTTAAAAGTTGTTGGCAACTTGCCGCAAATATTGCTCATAAGTTTTCAGCAATGCAACAAAAGGGCGTATCCTCTTTTTTCAGTATGTTCTTGCCGGCAACACAGTTTTCAAAAAAATATAATAACAGCAAAGTTCTCAACAACTCATCGCCCCAATAAACTTGTATTATTTTTCTCAAAACTTATGAATAAAAATTATTGCTCATATATTGCTCGCATATATTGCTGACTCACATGTCGCAAACGTTGGCTACAACAATTGATTGATAACAAAACTCAGCATATATTGAAATACTAAATTGACAAAAACATTTTCGTTGCATTAAATAAAAAAAACAACACAACAGCAATTGGCGAGCAACTTAATCTACACAATGATTTGCTTTTGATATTGAGTTTTCGCATTTGGCTATCTGGGTATATAAACCCTTTTGCACGTGGTGATGCGCGCTCATCATTCGAGAGAATCTTTATTAATTAAGAACTCGTTAATTATCGCGAATCTTGCAAAGTGGTACAAAACTTTTCGATTCGGCACAACTTCCCTTTCTATCACTCGTCCGCGAGTGGTGGACGTACGGCTGTTATATACCGGATACACCCTATGCGCGTACGTACATACATATACGCGATAATTTTCAAACAAGGGGACTAAAATTGGATTAGCGCGTGCGAAAATGAGAAACGAGTTTGCTCTCTCGCAAACTCGTTTCTCTCTCGATGTGTGATTAATCGAGTTAACGATCTCGATGTGTCCTCGTTATTCGAACATATTATAGCAACAACGCGAGGGAAGAGGGTAAGCACTTCAGCTGTGGACTGCTTTTGCAGATCAGATTGTTGAGCGCCACGTACGAGCCATTATTGGAGAACGTGCCGCTTGTGTTGAAAGAGTGCGCCGTGGATGAGCGTTGCATGGACATCATCAACGATACCGAGCACCGGTTGGACGGCGCGCGATTGGTCTGGTCTCTGTTGAAGCATCCCAGCGACGTGATCAAGCGCAACGCGTGTCTCGCGCTGGTGCCCTGCATCAGACACGCCAAAGACTCGCCCGAAATGGTGCGCGCCTTCGTGGGCGGTTTGGAGCTCACGGTCAGCCTACTGGAAAGCACAAACACGGAAGTGCTCGGCGCGGTTTGCGCCATGATCGCGGAGATCGCCACCGATCCTGAGAATCTCGGCATCTTGACGGATCACGGGGTTGTGAGGAAACTGGCCGCCCTCGTGGAGACCGTTAGTTCCGCGCTATTTACGACGCGACACACATGGCTTATATATCGGCTGCTTTATGAAAAAAAAAACACATGATCGTTATATTTACGTACAAGTATATAAAAAAAAAAGTACATAAAAAGCGAGTAATTTTAATTTGCTTATTAATTCATAAAAAAAAAAAGAATATTCGCAAATATGAAGTTTTTCTTAATGATTTTTTTTTTTACTGTGTTATTTAAATATATTCACGCGATAAGAAGATAAGTAAAAAAAAAATCGAATGTATATAAAAATTGTCCGTATTTTCATAAAGCAAAATTTATATTGACACGTTGCTCCTGTTGTGATGGTTAAATTTATGTTTCAACTGCGCGCACACACACACACGGAGTATAATACATATTGCGGTTTATTTTTAAAGGATGACGAAAATTTGCGCGCGAATCTAACATTGGCGATAGCGTACTGCTGCGAATGGGGTCAGAATAATTACGAATTCGGCAAGCTGAACGCGGTCGCGCCGCTCGTTAATTATATGACCAGCAAGAACAAGGACGTGTTGAAGGGTGTTTGTATCGCGGTGTATCATTTGAGCAAGGAGCCATTAAATTGTGTGACCATGCACACCTGCGGCGTCATTAAGGTACGACTAAGGGGCGTTCACTTTTCTCGCATATGCAACACAAAAAAAAATCGTTCGATATTTTAGAATAGACGTGATTTCGATTAGTGTGAGAAAAATGTTTTTGAAAAATCGAAAAACAAACCTGGAATTTTGTTCGTCACTGAAAAGAAATTTTTTTTGCAACACAGCACGTCTTGCGTCTGGTGGGCTCGGAGGATCCGGAGGTGCAGATCGCAGCCGCTTCCACCATTCGTCACATAAGAAAACTCGCTTTGGCAGCTGAAAAATTCCACTTGAAGGAAACGTAATAAATTTTTCTTCGCACTTCCACTCGTAGATCAAACAAAGAGCGCGGCACAACAATTTCTAATTCAAAGATCGTAAAAGTTGTTTTTAATTGCACACATTGAAACGTCAAAAAAAAAAAAAAAAACATTTTCATTCTTATTTCTGATCCGCTTACTGTTGTAAATTGTGGCTTTTAGGATTTCTTTTTTTTTTTTTTTAACAAAACTGCACACAGCTAAGCTGCTAATTATCCGGCGTTTTCACAGGAGCACGTTGCAGGAAACCGATTTCCGTCTGTGAATACACACAGTAGTATTCATTATCAATACGGACAGAGGAAGAGGAGGAAGAAGAAAAAAAATATATGTATAAAATAAAAAGATATTTTATTTTGCGTGCTTATATAAACAACGGTTCACAATTTGTAATATCTCTAAATATTCATAATTTTGTGTGTGCTTAAACCTTACACAATATATTTCTTTCCACCGACGTAACAATGAGTAACACACACATATGAAGAATATTAAGCGTGAAGAAAAGGCATAAAGAATTTACCTGTACACACCACATTCTCGTAGAACGTTTAACTCTTTTTTGTATCGGACAATATATATATATATAATTTATATATATATATATGTATGTATATATATATATATACATATATATTTTAATTATTAAATTACATTTAATATAACAAGGCGATGATTTCAATTTGAGCAAAATATGTACCTTAACAATGTCCCCGCGCTTCAGGATCGAAGCTATATTCGAGAATACGGGTAAACGTACGAGAAGAGTAAAAAGACATTAAGTAAAATTTCAAACAAGTGTAGAAAATGCTGCATTTTTTTGTTGTTCACTCACGCAAACCAACGGACTTGAATTCTTGAAAAGAGTTTCGTCTTTTTTTTTTTTTTTTTCGAAATGTACAGATTACGTGACGATTAAATGGCAACATTTTTTTTAATAAAAAAATTTTGATTCATTTTTTTCGAGCTATTTATTATTTATCTATCCTTAGCGGATAGTTGCGTTTCGATTGTTGAATCATGATCAACCACACCCGCAGTTTATCGCGACTAAGAATTTACTTGATAAATTGTTTTTCACGTAAGTCAGTTTCACCAATTTTGTTTGAACCGAAATTCATATTACAAATATTTTTGGGGATCGGAGAAATTATTGACATACAATAAATATATTTATTATTCCGTTTTGCTAATTTGCAAGAAGGTAAAAAATCATTTTAAATCTGACTTGATCAGACTTTAGTATATTGTGTGGTGAAACGTTTCTCTAAAATTAGTAAAATACACTAAAATATATATCATCAATGATTATACAATAAATGGCAATAATACGCACAACATGTCTATTCTACAAATTCAAAAACACTCCAACATTCTGATTGTAACTGAAAACAAAACGCCCATTTTCAGATTACACAAAAACTCCTGTATATAAAAGGTTTTTTATTTTTCTCGGAGAGAGAGAGAGAGAGGATTTTTTTTCTTTCTTGCAAATTTGTGTGTTTGTTCTTTAATCTGCAATTTTCCACAAAATACGTATTTGTTTGGTCCTGCTATTGTTTGTTATTCGGAAACATATTTGGAATTTATATATTTCTTTATATTTTTTTCAGAATTTCTTATCATTATACTTTTTAATGTCAAAACCGTCTATTAATAATAATCTTTAGTAAAATTAATAAACGTCGCGCGCACACACTCTCTCCTTTGCTAGGAATGAGTAAAAGGGGAAAGACCCAAATGGATCTCTTATTTGATTGACTTGCAGAGTCATTAATCTTGCTTAGTGGTCAGTGCATCCGCCGCAGTTTTTATTGCTACAATAAGCATTCATATAATTGTCTTACTTATACTTATTTTGAAATAAATATACTTTTTTTCAAAATCAACAAATTAATATTATAAAAAAAAATTAATACATTCTATATTCCTCTTTGAGACATGCAAATTTTTCTCTAAGAGATTATTAGATTATTTCTTCTAAAGGACGTTAACTTACCTGTGTCACGTGCGACAGACAAAAGTTTATCTACGCCAGGTTGATACTGAAGGAATTTTGGACGGATGATTCGGCGATACAGAATTAAGGAACCGTTGTACTCAGTTGGCACCATTAGCCATATGTAAAACACGCACTGTTAATAAACATAATTTATTATTTATTAATTGTTGCTCTTAGACAATAATTGTATCTTTGGGAATAATATTTTTGTACCTTGAACAGCCAATAAAATGGAAACCAGACGACAATATACTCAGAAAAGAACTCTATTATGGTGAATACTGCAAAAACAACCCAGTAAGTAAGCCATTTTGTGTCGTCTTCCTTCTTGCTGGTTTCCAGTGCTTTTAGAGATTGATATGCCGGATAAACAAATCCGATCACATTACACACTAGCTGTTGACCCAGCCCAAATACCAGATACAAGGCTAGCACTGCTAATGAACCTATTATGAAAATAAATAATTGAAGCAGTTGAGCAACAAGGAGTCGAGTGATAATAATAATCATGTCACGATCAAAAACAAAAATTAGTAAAAAAAAATATATATATATATATATCAAATAAAAAAATAATAATTGAAGTAACAATAAAGATCTTGAAGATGCAAAGTCATCGCACAATTATCTTTGGTGCAATTAGTAATTATCTAAATATATGCGCGTTAGCGTCGACCAATCAATAGGAGCGAAATCTACGTAATTATTCTTGTCGGAGCAAGTCGGAGCAACTCACCGACAAAGATGTAAAGACGGTCGATGCCGGTCTTTCCTTCCGCTTGAACAAGTAATTTTACCCACGGCTTGTTTTCGTCCCTCAACGCTTTCTCGAGATGTTCCTTCACGGCGGCAATTCGAGCCATTTTTTGTTTTTTTGATTTTTTTTGTTTTTTCCACAAAATATTCCCGGATCAACAAATTCGTGCGTGTTTCCGTTGGTTAGTCATACGTACGTCTGATCGCCACCAAAAGAAATATAATCAGTCACGTCACGACGGCGGAATCGACAAGCTCAAATCGCCAACACTTTATAGTACGTCCTCTCTTCCGCTCGACGCGCTAGTATCGAGTAAGTTATTGGATTCGATTGGAGAAGAGAATTTCGACGAACAAGAACTCGTCCGTTTCGCGCACATTACCCTACCTACTAAAAAAAAGTCTTCTTACTTCACAGCCATTGGCTGTCAGCAAGCGTCCCGCCAATCCCACACGCGCCCAACGCTATCCCTACTCTTTCCTCGGTTTTCTTCTCCTATGCGCAGTAAAATTCTCTTCTCTAATTGAATCAAGTGTAGATAGGGTTTACGTTATTCTGTTGTTTTGCGCATCTCTCCCTTAAACAAAAAGCTTACCACTCACTCCACCGCCATTGGCTATTAGCAAGTGTCCCGCCAATCCGCTAGTTTGAAATATATATACATATATATATATTTATATATATATATATACATTTATTAAAATATATATATATATATTTTTTCTAATATGTAAATTATATAAATCGATAGTTTATTGTTTTTCAAAATAAAAAATTAAGTTTGCGTTTTTTTATCTGATTCAATACAATTATTATAAAATGTTAGACACACCGAGGATATAATTCAAAATATAGATCCCAGTTACGAACAATTTTTCACTAAAGACTGGTACGATGGTTCAAAACATTTGTAGCGAGATTTTGATCGCACATTCTTAGATTTCCTTTGAATCGGTTATTAGTTACCATTTTACGCGTCCTCAATTAAAATCAATGATTTTTTTTTGTTTGTTTTATATTATTTTCTAAATCCAGCAAGCAAAAAACATCACCACTGGCTTTACGGACACGTGCTGAGAAAGAACTTCTGAAAAAAGGGTGTTTCTCTCCTGTCCATAAATTTGCTTTTTAAAATTTTATTGCTTTACAATTACATTAACAAACGTTTCAGATCTTTAACATCGTATTGTAACGGGAGGTCTTCTTTAGGCAATTTGGTGGTCTATGAAAAATAAACCAAAATAATAAATAAATTTAGCTTCGTTTTCATTTATGTGAAAGCATAGATATTTCTTTTTTGTTTTTTATACATCAATCCGCTAGGAATTGCATTTGAATTAATTTCTCATAAATTAACTAGTTAACGAAGTAATTACAGGTATGTACATTCTTGAATCAAGAAAAAAAAAATGTGTGAAGCGTGAATATGCAATATTGCCCGGATTGTCAAAAGTAATGTGATTCTATTGTATATATACATATATATGCTATATATATATATATATATATATATATATATATATGTTTATACAACCAGTATACTATACTAGTCTATAAACATTAAAGATTGATATACGTGGCTGTAAAATATACAATGCTTTAAAAAATGAGTTTTTGAGCAACTTTAAGCGTTGACAGCCGGTCCTATTCTGATATGCGGTAGAGGATTGAAGGGAGTTGTGTTTCGAATTTCTTTCTCTAAGCACATCGAGTAAATGTCGGCAGTGAGTTCGGCCATTGGAATTTCCTTGTCAGCTTTAGCGGCCTTCACGGCATCATCTACAGTTTTTCTGATTTCACCTTCTATTGTCTGTGAAAGAATAACGTTTGTTTTTTTTCTGTACATGAGACAGCAAGCAAATAAATATTACTAACAAAAATTATTGAATTTTAATCACAGAAATCTATCAGAAAAAAATTGTTCACTGACCTTGATTTCGTCTGCGGTAACGAGATTGGCGTTCAGAATTCTTTCTTTGAAGCTGGTCAGAGGATCTCGAGTTTGCCGAACTTCCTGAACTTCCTCTCGCGTACGATAGCTCGTTCCGGGATCCGACATACTGTGACCGCTGTATCTGTACGTCACGGTCTCCATGACGATCGGTCCCTTACCGGTTGTGCAATGATCTATCGCAAATTTCGTGGCTTCTCTCACAGCCAACACATCCATTCCGTCTACCTGTATACGTTAATGTGTGAGATAAAAATAAAAATATCAATTCTTCTCAGAAAGAGAAACATCTATTGTATACCCGTATTCCGGGAACATAATCGCCTCTGGTGTAATATTCCGTGCTAGCCGCGGCACGGTCCACACTGGTACCCATCCCGTATCCGTTGTTCTCGCAAACGAAGATGCAGGGCACGTCCCACAGCTTCGCCATGTTATAAACCTCGAACACCTGTCCCTGATTAGCGGCGCCGTCACCGTACAACGTTAAACAGACACCGCCAGTATTCAGATATTTCTGTGCAAAGGCGATTCCGACTCCCAGCGGTACCTTAATTAAAAAAAAAAATCAAGTATCGAACATTGAAATTGTTTGCGTCACGATCACATATATGTTGAATATTATTTTTTACAACCAATATATACCGACCTGAGCGCCAACGATACCGTTTCCTCCGTAAAAATTCTTGGAGTACATGTGCATCGAGCCACCTTTGCCTCTGGCATTGCCGCCTTGTCTGCCCGTGAGCTCTGAAAGAACACCAAGCGGTTCTATGCCCATCAGATAAGTCCATCCGTGTGCGCGGTAAGCTGTGATCACAGAATCCTGAGATCTCATTGCGGCTTTCATGCCAACCGCGCAAGCTTCCTGTAAGAGATAACAGAGCAAAGAAAGAGTTGCGAAATAATATTCAAGCGGATGATCCTAAGACAAAAATGTGTTGTACGCAAGACACAGTTCTTACTTGTCCAGAATATAAGTGACAAAAACCGCGAATAATTTTTTCTTTATACAAATTGCCAGCAGCTGTTTCCATACGTCGTATCGTGTGTAACTCTTTGAACAGGTTGATGGCATCGTCTCGAGTCACCGTAACTTGAGTTGACGGTCCGCTATCCAATTTGTGTAGACGGAAAGGTTTGGTCTCGAAGGAAGCCTCGGTGGCATAATTGTTTTTCTTGCTCAAGAAAAATGAGGCCACCTAGAAATAATCGCGATCCGTCAATAAATCCGTAAATTTATGCATTACGTAACTTAATGCATGAAATTTATCTTTTTTCTTAATTGCTCATTAAGTGTGAAACAAAGAAAGATAGTTTTTAGAAGGCCTGTAATGCGGTTGTGAAATTGTGTAACAATTGCGAGTTTTGTTTTGTTTTGTGCTTGCATAGTTTAGTGCTGTAACTCTTGTTAAAATATTTGCTCGGTGACAAATATGAAAGTATAAAGGGCAAATATGAAGCAATGACTTGATCAAAGCGTCAAATAAAACAAATAGGTACGCACTTGAATATCACATATTCAAACACTTTTCAAATATAACAATTAAAGAGTAAATAACTAAACAGCACATAAGTATATCGACATACATTTCTAATTCTTTTAATTATTTGGTATCGGATAAAATATGGCTTAAGGTAAAGCTGAAACATTATTTGTTTTGCAATTTAAAAACTCACTTGTGAATATATATATATATATATATATTATATATATGTGACATTTGAGTGCGTTGAGCAGATCTCTCAAGTTTTTTTATTTTACTTTATTTATTGCATTTTTTCTTGTGCGTGATTATTTGTTATCGGCTGAATATGGCTCAAAATAAAACTGAAAAACGTTCCCGGAAACATGATTTATTTGTGTTTTGAACATTTTTTATTCGGCACTTTAATCCAAATATTGTTTCATATCTTCATCCGCCTTTTATGTATTTTATCATTTGTGATTTTATCAACGCGAAGAATTTCTCTCGTTTGTTTTTGATTTATTCGATCAATTCAATCGACCGATTAAAGAGAATGAAAATTAATTAAAATTCAGACACACACACACACACACACAAGTGGCAACAATATCGATAGAAGAGCTGTAACACATCGGAGAGAAAGTCGGCAGTGACATAATTACCTCGTTCCAGCTTCCAAACTGGCGAGTATGCGAAATGATAAAGGAAAAAGATCTCATGAAATTTAACATGTTGCGATTGGCAAAATCTGTGGGATTTTTCTAGCGAGACCCTGACGCTAATTAGAGGTCACACGGATTGGATGCTCCGTTGTCGTGTGCACTTACGTTTCGCCGGGACGACTGCGCGGCCACGCTCCTGATGCAATTCGGTATCATATTTTTTTTTTTTCGTCGTGCCAGTGAGAAGAACGTGTGAGGAGGGAAAAAACTTTTCGTGTCGTTTCTGTCTCTCGAGTCAAAAAGTGCCTTGTTGACGAAAAATCAACCCTCACCCCAACACAGACCCACGCGAACTGGTCACGAACCAAGTCGGGTGATCAGATTATCAGATGATTTCTGTAGTTCCGGACATAGCAGTAGTTGGTTTGAGCACTGAAGTGCGCCTGAAGGTGCAGAAGGTGCAGGTTGTAAATCTCGTGACGTAATAACACGATCATATGATATATATTTATTTTTAAAGTCCACGGACAAAGTCCAAACCTGTATGTGGAGCCAACATTCAAAAAAAAAGCTTTCAAATCTTTGCTGCTCGGTGTGATTTCTTTCTTTTAAAACGCACGTTTCTTTCTCGCAAAACAAAAGCTAACAATGCAGAAAAAAACAACGGAACGTAGATATGTTTTTTGGTTTTTTTTTGTTTGGATTATTATCTAATCTCTTTGACGATTTTTGCGATCAAAGAAGTCTCGAAGTCTCTCCGCTCCTGCGAGAGAAATGGAGAGCGACAACTTGTGCAATTACAAACGGAAAATTGTGTCTTTCAAGGATTTTGGCAGATTCAAATTGTCCGATAGAAAGTATGACAACAATGATCTCAACGTGTACACAGCAAGACTGAACGATTTGCGAGAGGATACGTTGCGCAAAGCAAAATTAAAATGGAGTAAGTCCTTGTGTATAGTCCTTTGCGTCAAGGGGATTTGTTTACAACAATTATCGTGTGCTTAATTTTATTTTTTTCACAGACAACTGTACGTACGTTGAGGTTTCGCGTTTGGATCTGGAGAGACCGGGACGATCTTACATCTTAATAGGAATAATCTACAAAGATCAAAAACTCAAACCTTCCATTCTGAAAGATCTCAGCAAAGAGCTGCAGATAGAAGTGCAGCCGAGCAACAATTACGCGTCCAATGACGACAAATTATTTCTTGAAGACGAGACATTGCGTGTAAGATTGGTGGGAAATCACATGAGTAGCCAACAAGTGGTAACGGGTCTTGTTTGCGCGGTACTCGGCCAAGAATTGGAAAACGGAACGTTCCAAGTATATATATGTTTATAAATTATTAATTGCTTTTACACAATTAGAGATATCTCTCATTTTGCTGATGCAAAAATTTTTCTCTCAGGTGGACGATTGGTGTTTTCCAGGATATTGTCCGAAACCTAGCATGTCGATAGGTCCGATGATCGATGACGGGAAGATTCTGCTGATATCTGGATTGGATTTGGTTAATAACACAGACGAGCTAAGTTTGGATTTGCTTCTGGAATGGATAACCGGCATGATAGGAAATAGCGACGCCCAAGCGGAAGAAGCAGTGGTCGCCAGAGTTATTATTGCCGGTAAGAATGATGATGATTGTATTTTCTGATCTGAATTAAATTAGCGAATCCTCTGTAATGATCGAATAGGAAATTCCATTCGTTCCTCTACGAAGATTTACAGTCACAAAGGTTATCACGAGATAAAATCGCACGACGAGCTTAAGATCAAAGAGGATGTAATAGCGATGTACAAGCTGGATCTTTTTCTCAGCAGTATTCTTCGATGCTGTTGCGTCGTGATTATGCCGGGGGAATTCGATCCCGCTTGCAACCACAGCATGCCTCAGCAACCTTTTCATCCGTGCACTCTGCAAAAGTCGGCCAGGTGCCAACATAACATACAATTTATGTTTCGCAAGTACCGTTTCGAGCTTCTATCACTTCACACATATATATGTATATGCAGGTTCAAGAGCATGCACGGTGCGACCAATCCTTGGATCGGAGATATCGGAGGCCGCGTCGTGGCTGGTTCATGCGGCAGGCCGATCGCAGACATAATGAAGGTCGCTGGGTTGTCCGAGATGTTGTCTCCGTTGGAGTGGCTGGAGCGTACTCTGACCTGGAGACATTACGCTCCAACCGGACCGGACACGCTATCGATTTATCCGTTCTTTGAAAACGATCCGTTTGTCATGAGAGAATGCCCGGACATATATTTTGCGGGAAACATGAACGAATACGATACGAAACTGGTTACAGGTAAGAATATAATAAATTTTGTCCGTTCAAGATTGCGTTGTAATGTGTAATGATTTTGCGTATGTCGTGCGCAGATGAGGGACAAACGGTCAGATTGATATGCATTCCGAAGTTCTCGGAAACGAAAACGGCGGTACTGGTCAATTTGCAAGACCTGACGACGCAACCTATTTCGTTCGGTAGTGGCTGATTGTAAATTCGTATTGTACAAATGATATAATTGTTTTTTTTTTTTTATCATGAAGCGAAGTATTTATCGTGAAGAAAGTACCAAAGAGAAAAAATCGCGTGCACAATTTGTACAAAAATTAAAAAAGAAATCGTTAAAATTTCCGCTCGAGAGTTTTCAACTCTAATATAATAATTTATATTCTAATGTAAATAATTTCACAAATATAACAATTTGTTTTCAACTAATAATTTATTTATTGAAATCTTTCTCTCGCTCTCTCTCTCTCTCTCTCTCTCTGTGAGAAAGAGAGAGAAAAAATAATATACGTTATATTTTTTTATATATTGTATATAATATATACAATAGTGTATATATTTGTATATGATGTGTATAATATAATTATATAATTTCTTATATTATACAATTCCGTAGCCCGTATTTGTCGCTGTATATACTTTTATACTGACGCGCAACCTAAAGAATGTAAAATGATTTTTTTTTTTTTTTAACAAACATGAAGATTTTGCAAATTAATAAAAACATTTTCTTGTGTATATAATAATGTGCAAAATAAAAAATCTTTTACACTCAGTCGCATGTGACTCATTTCACCGCGTGTGAGAAAAAATCCATCCAGCCATTTGTTCTTTAGTTTTTTTCGCACACACGTAAAAAAACGTAAATATAAATTTATACCTTGTGTTTTTTTTTCTAAATAATATTCCACACATGCGATAAACTAATATGATATATATGTATATATAACATGATGTATATGATATAAAAAATAAAAAATATAGTATATATAACTATTAATATATTTGTGTGTATATATACTCTATATATGTATATATGTAATATTATTCTCTTCTTTTTTGACTTTCGTTTCTGTGGTGAATACCATCTTTCTTTTTTTGGCACATATTTAGTATTTTCTTAAGATTATTATCTCAGTCGCGCGCGTGCGAGCGCGCACGTAAAATATATATATATATATATATATATATGTATTTTCTGTTAAAACTTTACACAGAGAAGAGATGAACAATTTTTTTTTTTTTTTCTTTACGCAAATGCATGCACAAGATCAAAGAAGAAAGACTAATCGAGTGTCTAGCCGAATGAATATCTTAAATCGTATAATTTTCAGGTCGTTATCGTGATTTTCTTTCTGAAATCCTTTGTTCGTGTTATCCGAATGATTTGTTCTAATAAAACTTCTGAACCTCCGATCCGCAAGATCTGGAAGTGATGGGAATGTTCACGCGAACGGTGCTCGACTCGACTTGCTGTTCGGTGCTGTTTGACGAGTCCTGAGGACTCGCAACGGGACCGTTGATCGTCTGTTGATCCTCCGATCGTTCCTCGCTTCTCATCGCGCATATCACGTCGGTTAGGGCGACTATGTAATTTTTGGCCAGAGTCAACGTCTCGATCTTCGAGAGCCGTCTCTCCTTGTTGATGTGCGGAATCACCTCGCGCAAGGACTGGAACAAAAAAAAAAAAAATTAGGTTTCGATACGTCTTACAAAAAAAAATGAGAGCAGAGCGCGCCCCGCTTTGCGCGTCGGTTTTTTCATCGCTTTTTAATCGGTTTCTTCTTTCGTTAATAAGTTAATACGCGATATATATATATGTCTGTGTATAATATATTGTACTTGAAAAGCGTCGTTCAAACTGTGCATCCGCATACGCTCCCGTTCGTTGCTCTCCAACCTCCTGAGAGTTCTTTCCCGCGCTGTATTTCCCCGGGCGGGTTTTGACAATTTCAACTTCGACGATTCCGTTTTTCTCGCCGCCGCACGCCTTACGCTACCGCCGCTCTCTGACGATTCCGTGGCCCACTTGGTTCCCCAGGTGTTCTCGTTCGTCACCTTAGACCGCATTATTTCGTTTCCCTACGACACAATGAAATTTCATTTTTTTTATTAGGTTCTTTTTTTACACGCAAACATCAAATTTTCCAGACGTATTTCTTTTTAATGTTTTTTTTTATAAATTATTGTTTTTTACAATTTATTTCTTCAACTTGTCAACGTCTCAAGAACGAAGAAAAACAGATTTTTTTGTGAAGTAAATAAATTGAGCGAAAAATTCGAACAATTGCGAGAAAAGTAAAAATTTGTGTTTAATATAAATCATTGAACTCTTACACTTACTTACTTTCTCTCTGTGCGGGATATTAAGATTTAGATTTCGTTGATTGATAATCGTTGTGGAAAAGACGATTTGCGAAGTCTTGTCTCTCGCCGGGGAAGTTGCGAGATATAAATTTGTCTCCTAATGCGTTTTCATTGTTGAACAATCGCACGGTTTTGAAAAATCCACGCTCACGGGTTTTTTCCAAAAATTTGAATTGTCCGTATCCGTAGCTATCGGCGCCGCGTGTACTTGTTGAGCCACGCTGGAAACGACGACTGACGTCGCGACGTCGGGGTGCGGCCGGCGCCGCCTTCCACCCCCGGTATTTTCATTATATACCCCGTGTCCCTTCTCTTTTTTTTCCTTCAAGTCGTCTTCAAGTTCTACTCCCGTCCCTATATACGTTCTCCAAACAATGTTTCGCGCTTCAACAAATTTCATTTCACATTTTCTCTGGCGATGTAAAACTTTTACACTCGCACACGACGCTCGATTACAACATTCGTAGCAACATTTCTGATCGAGCAAAGCAAAAAAGATATGAACTTTTGCAAACTTTTAAATTGTTTAAGTTTGCGCATCGTTTTTGTTGATCGGAAGCGCTCTTGCAAGCGCTTTATCGCGACACATTTTGCAATTGTTAAAAAAATTACAGACGAATTTATTTCAGTTCACGTCCGTCGTTCTTTTTTTTTTTTTCTTTTTCCTAATCGGAAGAAACAGGGTGGAAAAGAAACGAGATGTAAGTATCGCGTCCCCGATACACCCTATAGATGGACAATATTCTTTAGCATCCTATATCTATATATATAAGCGGGCTACAGGTGGGCGTATGACGTAATTCGCCCACGCGGACCCTCCTCTCTCTCTCTCTCTCTCTCTTTATCTGCCCATTATCGTTCTGCCACCGACAACTCGGAGATGACGGAGATTTAATATGAACAACACTCGAATACACCTGCTCCGACTACGTGTTTAGGGTTTAGTGAAATAAATAAATAAATAAATAAATAAAAGAAAAACAGGTTGTATTATAAATGTGCAAATATAATTGACGTGCGATGTGTTTCCGTGAGAGAGAATTTTGATTATTCTTTTCACGAGATAAAATGCAAATCCGATCATTAAAATTACCACGTCGCCGTCGATCATCTCGCGATCGCGTTTGTAATGGACATCTTTTTTAAATTCCGTCTGCGAAGAAGAAAAAACTCCATGGGGGCTTTTTTCGAAACTCGATAAGGAAATTTCGAAATAAAAAAAAAAAAAAAAATCTCAATTTGCACGTCGTAATCATCAATAAATAAATCTCTGCAAATTTTGCAAACAAAAAAAAAGGTCTAGTCGTAAATCAACGGAGAATTATTAATTGCAACGCTGTGAGTTCAAGATGTTTTAAAAAAATTCGTTTTATTTATTCCCTTTACATTTACCGCAGCAAGCGTCGGTTTTTTCCAATTCGGACTCTTTGTGATTTACGGTCCATGGACCGAGACTGATCGTAGAGTAGAAGTCCATGGGATACGAGCGATTCTTGTCGAAATCCGCCATCCTGAGTGCGACCGCGCCTTCGTAGGGCGTAAGAAATGGCTTCTCGAACGCGACGCCCCAGTCGATGCTCAGTCGTGGACACGCGATCTTGAATAAAAAAATAAAAAAAAAAAAAACATCACACATGGAAAATATTATTTATGCAAGTCGGCGAAAACATTTGTTCTTTTTTTTTTTTATCTACAACTTCTTCGAATATTTTTTATTATTACAAACATTACAAATAAAAAAAAACCATTATTATAACAAATAAAAAAAAACAACTTTGTCTTACGAGTGATATCGTACTTGTATGAAAGCATCGACGCCTTTGAACAGCTTGATCTTGTTCGGGAATATTTCCGACAATAATATCACAACGTTCTCCTTTCCCAGAGCCTTGATTCTATTTTGCAGAGTCTTGAGTACGTTTGGACTACCCTGCCTGCCAAGAGTCCCAAGTATCAGACCATACTTGTCAGTCTCCTTGGCTCGTAATATCGCTTCCTGTCTGATCTCCAACATCTTCGCGTGATCGTAAAACTCCTCCGTCAGTTTTTTCGCATACGGATCGTACTTGAACGCTCTCAACTTGGGATTGGCAATCATAACAGCTTCCAAGTGAAATCTACCGTCCCCTATGTAAACCACTGCCTCGGCGCAATGAATTTGCGGCGCTGTGCATCCTAAAATCTTCCGGAAAAAAAATTTATATACATGTCATTAGGAATGCGAGAAGAAGAGATAAAAAAAAGAGTAAGTACTTCTCCGGGGCTAAGTGGCCTGCTCTGTGGAACTGAAATTTCGTAACCCTTTCGTCTTAACTCCGTTGCCACCGCTTGGACTGTTGTGGTAAATTGTATTGTACTGACTAGCGCTATCCTGATGGTGACAGGCAGAGTGACTTGCAGACAGTCCACACAATGTGCAATGTCAATTTTTATGTTAACAAACACGTAAAGTACTTTGATACTGGCGGTCTGATCCACGGGTATGAGGCAAGAGTGTCCGTAGTGAATCAGAAAGTCCGCGTCCAACGCCCGTGTCGTGTAATCGTCCACGCAACAGGCTCCTGCAAACAAAAAGTTCAACGTTAAGGTTCAGAAGCAATCTGATCGTTCGGCACTATGTTTTGTTCTCACCATAAGTAACATCAGCCATAATAACAGTCTCTGCTTCGGTAAATTCCTCGATTATGTCAGCTATGGTCGTGGCGTACATCAAAAGACCTTCCGGCATCTGAAGAACCACTCGCTTCGCCTTGGCCTCTCTGATTCTCCATATCGTTTTGTGTATCTCAAAATTGTAATTCGACGGTAAAGCCTCTACGGCAGAATTCAACGAGGGATCGTTTAAGAGTTCGTCCGGTATCTTGGTGACCTTCAACGGCGCTTTGAAAACTTTGCGAACGGGTTTCGCTTTGATGACCACGACGGAATCGCATTGTTCGGAATCCATATTTTCAACGAAATATCGCAATTCTCTACTTTTAAGAATTCTCTAAAAAAATATTGCGCCTAAAATGTACAGAAATGTCACGTTACGCTCATGTTAAACACTGTCATCACACAAACTGCGATTCTAACCACTACTTTGAACTTTTTAGGGTTGGGTTAGAGCGGTTGGATCATGAACTGTGAAAATATATGAGACTATTTTCTGACAGAATTATATAAATATTAAAAAAACGATGTTATACACACGCGTATATATTATTTCAATAAATAAATATTTTACACATTTTTTACATCGATGTTAATGTTTGTGCGAACCATTTTCAAATTGCACACTAAAAGTACAAAAAAAAAAATAAAAAAAAAATAAACAATTGCCGCCAGGTCCCACCGAGATTTGAACTCGGATCGCTGGATTCAAAGTCCAGAGTGCTAACCATTACACCATGGGACCTTCGACAATGATGGCTCTCCACATTAGATATTTTAGTTGCATAAGTAAACATTATATGAATGTTATATAAATGCGAATGTGATAACATATAAAGTAAAAAAAAAAAAAAAAATGACACCAATGCGGTTCGAATCCGAAAACCATTTTCGGATATTAATGGCAACACGCCGCGGGAGCGGATTTGATATCAAGTATATAAAATATTTTTTTTTTTTCAAGAAATTCCTGATACGCATTCGTGTAAGTTAGCAATATTGCAATATTATAATGTTTGATATTTTTCTACATAACACTATATATATATATATATACATATATGTACAGAAACAGGGAATAATTTTTATATTTTCTTATTATCATCCAATGAAAGAGCAATGAAAAAATAAGTTAATTTTGCTAAAACATCCGTTTAATATCAATACTTAGTATTTTGTTATTAAATTTTACTCCCCTCTAAATATATAATATAAAGCTTATATTTCTTATCTCTATTATATACATAAGTGATATATATACATATTTAATGATATAAATTCATTAAAATGTGAAAGAGGAGAAATCTCCATAGGATTGAGATGGGATCTTCTTCTTCTTCTTCGCGGGCTCCGCATTCGTGTCCAAACTGAAAATCAATTCAATACATGAGCTTTAATGCCTTTGCACACATGAAGTTATACTTTTTTATTGCGTTAATGATATATTATTGGTATAAACTTCGTAAAAAAGACATAAAAGCCTATGTTTTTACAGTATACACAACAAAAAACGACATTAACAAATTACAATTCGATAAAAAGAAAAAACAATCGAAATTTACTTCTCCTCGTTCAATTTCACGTATTTTCCTATGCCAGATCGATAAACTTTCTGGATGTCGCTTCTGTTTGCTTTGTCCGTAACTTTGTTCTGATTTGCTTCTTGAGCCAATCGTTCCGCCTCGACGGTTCGTTCCGCAATCAGTTGCTCGTCTGCTTCTTGAAAAGGATCAACAAAAACCTGAGCTCTTTGAACAATTATGTCTTCTATCGGCCGATCTTTGTTATCTACTTCAACTTTTTCAATTGCGTTCAGCGTGTCCAGACCTCCGACTATTTTTCCGAAAACCGTATGTTTGCGATCGAGATGTCTACACGACCGAAACGTGACGAAACTACGGAGCAACAATAAGAAAACATTAATGTAAAAAAAAAAAATTTGAAATTATCAGCGTGATCGTTGTTGTTCACTCTCTCTCTCTCTCGATTCTTACAATTGAGATCCGTTAGTGTTGGGACCCGAGTTTGCCATTGACAAAATGCCTCTGCCTTGATGAATCAAATTCGGTTTGAATTCGTCCTCAAACGGTTTATCCCAAATAGATTTGCCGCCATTGCCCGTGTTGGTCGGATCACCACCTTGTATCTGCAAGAAACAATGAAACATCTCGATTATATTTGCGCAAAACTAAAGAAGTGTGTGTTAATGCGCTAAAAAAATTTTTAACCTCACCATAAAATTTCTTATCGATCTGTGAAACTTCGTGCCGTCGTAATAACCGCTCTGGCAGTGTTTCATGAAGTTCTCGCAAGTCTTCGGAACCAGATCGCAATGGAGTTCAAGATTTAAAGATCCAAAATTTGTGAGGAATCGAACATATCCTAAGCAAAAAGCAGAATAAATCAATAAATTTTTTTCCAAATCGGATTTGGGGATCAAAAAAAGAACATTTGTAACAAAAAATACACATTACCTTTTTTCTTAACTCGTTCGTAACGCACCAAGTCTTCTGGGATCACAGCCGCCTGATGAGTGGTCTCTGTTGGCATCACCGTCGAAGTAAATCCAGCAGCGACAGCGCCGGTCGAGTAGTGCGCCTGTAAATAAAAAAAAACACACCCAATAGAACTTTTTATCCTAAAAAAGCAAATCCTTCTGGTTTTTTAAACTATATTATACGGACAGCGTTAAATTTGTCAGCCCTCTTAGACGCTTCGCCCTTTTCACCGTTTTCCGTTGGTTTGTAATCTCTGTCCAACTCCGCCAAAATCTCTTTAGTCTCTGCCGAGACGGTTTTCAATCTTGCATTCGGATTATTGCGCTCTCTTATAGTTTCTGTAAAATTAGGAAAAAAAAACAAAAAAATATCAAATTCTGAAATCAACTGTTTTCTGAGCACAAACAGAAGGCTCACCTTCATCCTCCACTCTTATGTTATTTTTAATATGATGAAAGGTGGACAGATTGAATTTCATCGCATTGTTTGGATCATGAATTGTAATGATATCCTTGCGTGTAAAAGGTTCATCATTTATCAGATCCTTCCAATTTCCTGCTTTTATATTTAACTGCTCAACAGCCTTGAAAACAATTTTTTTATTGTGTACTTTTTTTGTTTAAGTATAATATAATTATATAAAAGAGAGAGAGAGAGAGAGAGAGTTTGTATTATATTTATAAGAACATATACACGCGCAATAAGAAATCATTTAATAATATATTTACCTCATAAGAGAATACATTTCCCGTGGTTCTAATAGCAACAATGTGGGAATATTTTGTGAACAATTTGAACAGAACAGGACATCTGTATTCATTGTCCGCATTTTTATCAAAATTAAGTTTGATTAAACTCTTTGAATCCAATGGTTTTCCCGTTACGGGATTATGCTTGTATTGCTTTATATACGCCAGAACAGCTTCCAGCTCGAACACGTTGCCATGCTGGTCGCAATAAGGATGTTCGAAGGGTTGCAAACTCAAACAACAATGATCAAACGGCAAACGCCTGAATGTTTTTTCTTCGCTTGTTTCCAATGTAGTTCCCGACTTTCTCCCACCGTACAACGTCGACCACTCCGTATAAGTCAAGTACCTGAACAAATGAATTTAAAATTCGTTGAATATAAAACAAACCTCACATGTTTTGTTGATTTATCCTTTCCTTCTGTTTACTCTATCGAGTGATACGTGATGTGTCATATATACAATATTTACATTTTATCTTTCTGATGTTGACGTTTCCCCATTTTGAATTAAGTTTATAAAATACACCTTGTAATTTATTACTTTTATTAATTTAATTGTTGAAATACTGTAAACTATATTTTTTCATAAAAACGCATCAAATCAAAGAAGTCTGAAAGCGATCACTGGCGAACATTCTCGATTGAAGTTTTTCACGATGTTTTCACGATTATACTCTAACCTCCAGGCTGTGTCCGTTACAGGGACGAAAGATCGAGACCGCAGAAACGAGAATGGGTGCGTTCAGACAACTCAACAGTTGCACAACGGTTGAGAGATAATCAGTTCTGATTGGATCATACTTTTGGAACCGAAGCAGATTTTGAAGAATAGTCCTATCATAAGTGATGATCTCTCAACCGTTGAGTTGTCTGAACTTAACCAATCACTTCTGATTGGATCATACTTTTGAAACCGAAGCAGATTTTAAAGAATAGTCCTATCATAAGCGACGATCTCTCAACCGTTGAGTTGTCTGAACGCACCCAATATCGAAGCCAATCGAAGCGGTGGGGGCACGCACAAAAGCGAGAATCGCCGTCACGGACGACGCTTTCCAATCTAATTTTATTTTTCAAATTAATAAAAGCAATTACACGTGTTACACTCTGTTCAATAAAAGAGTATCATCGAATTAATGAATATAAATTTTGCGTTATACAAATGTTATATAAAATCTGACACAAAGTTTGAAAAAAGAGAAGATATAAAACAGTCTAGTTTTCCTTGGATCCACCATAAAAAAAAAACACGTCCAAGAGAATGTAAACATAAAAAACAACTTTCAAAAAAGTAGGATAAAATAAAATCTTAAAAACAAAATAATTTCAAAATAAGATAGTAATCTGTATTTAAAATACGGCAATATAATCTTTAAGATTTTATAGCTGTTAATTCATGTTTAAAATAATTTGTTCTTCCTTTTCCTTACACACATAGCACTTTGGATGTATTTGAAATATAATTTATCATCATTAACATCAGTATTAAGATTACTGACACTAACAGACTTACAAGTATCTATTAAAATTCTTATGTCATTATCACTTAGGTAACTAAATATTTGTTCAATACACCCAAGTGGTAGCTCAGGAAAGTTACAGAAAAAATAGAAAATTTTAGTGCCTTGTTCAAGCAACTCTTTCTTTTTCATACCTTTTCTGAACTGATTTTTTATCATGCTAGAGTATATTGGAAATTTTGTTTTATACTCGTCTGATCTTAAAACCTGCACTACATTTTCATTTCTCATGTATATTGCTACTCGATTTGTATCTTTTATCAAGATATCGTAAAATGATATGTTAGTATTACTAATTTTCTCATTCTTCATGATTGCTACTTCTTTTTCACATTCATCCTGTAAATCCCTTATTTCAAAATTGCTGCTCATTGATAATAATTGTTCACTTACGGATAAATTTGCAGCTTTTATCTTAACTATATGTTGTTTAAGAAAATCAGCAATTTCTTCACAAACGATGCAACTAGAAAAGTCATTATAATCCATATATGATATAGCATTAATGTTAGCACCTCTGTCTAACAACATTGCAACAACTTCTACATTTTCTAGTTCAGCAGCAAGACACAGTGGTGTAACACCTGGTGCAAAAGAAGAGATATATGTCGAATTAACATAAAACTCCATGTTTTAAAAGATGTTTATGAATCTGTAAATATCTTTTCTCAGCTACAATTTAAAGTTATACCTGACTTATCACTGGCATTAACGTTAGCTCCATGATTTAAAAGTAATTCAGCAATTTCCATTTTCTCATATTCAATCGCATAGTGAAGCGGAGTTGTGCCACACACACACACACACACACACACACACACACACACA